AACCGACTTCATCAGCTTGGTGGCCACGTTCCTCGAGGACGCCGCCAGACATGCTTTTTCCTCGGGTATCGTGGCACCGAGGCCGCGTGCACTGGCAGCCCCTTGCATTCTAGCGCCCCCGGTGAGGTCATTGCCACTTTGGGCTCCGAGCCTGAATCTCAGACTCCATAGTCATCGATATAGGGCATCGATTGCGACTGAGTTCGGTAGCTGCACCTCGTCGAGCGGACCGATGCTACAAATTCTGACCATCGTGGTGGCGATGCAGCTGGCCTGCAACAAGGCCTCCGAGGACGACGAATCGGGCGGGCCGATGCGTGGCGACCGCGAGGGCGGAGATGGCAGGGTGGAACCGATATGTATGGCATCGTTCCACAAGTCTAGATCGGCTGATCGTTTCGAATAGAGGCCCACTACAGGCTAGCTGCGGCTCGGCCTCGAGCGCCTTCGTTTTCATCGCGCGCTGCTTGACGCCAAACGACGTCTGTGCTGGGCAAGAACTTAGCAGCAGCGGAGTAAGGCCGAGCATGTTCCTCCTCCCACTGAATCGACCATATCCTCCTCGCTCTTCCCCATGTCCTATGCGCAGAACTGAAAGGCCCGATGGGGCGATGGTCTCCAGTGGCTTTCGCCAAGTGCGAGAGGGTCGCGGGTCTGGCCTGCGCGGGTGCTGTAGTGCTCATCTCCATAGCAGTGTACAGTGAAGCCAACGCCGTGAGAGCGTCATCGGACATGGGGCATACTGTCCCATGTGAAACCCGTCAGTTGAGGTAGCCGTGTGCCCGGGGGTCTTTCTGCTGAGACGTCTGGTCTCGTCGGGGGAAAGAGGGCCACGAGCGGGCTTGATGGCGAGCGTGTCGGGGCGGAACCGGCGCGCCATAGGGCGCGGCATCGGATGCGCTCAGACTTGAGCGAAGCAATGAGGCCAGCCCCAATTTTACCTGCGTCGTTGAGGGTCGACGTAAGGGCCTGGGGAGTGAAGCGGCGGATGGCCGCGCGAGCCTGCTTGGCCCCTTCCTCCGCGCGACGCAAGGGCCAGTGCTTCCAACCCAGGAGGCCCTCTTGCTGTGCTTGCGCCTCCGCAGCGGCCAGGGCGATGCTATGGTTGGTGCGCGGGTCGGCGCGCTGGCCGCGCTGGCGCGGGAGACCGATGGCAGCGGCCACAAGTGAATGCCGACGCTCATGCTGCACTAGTCCCCGACAAGAAACTTGGGGGGATCAAGCAGAGCCAGTCGGTGAACTTCAGCACCCGCCTGGGCCTCAACGTCACTGCGCATCAGGGACTGCCTGAATCTCATCGCCACCCGCTTCGAAACGTAGTGCGAGGTGCCTGGCAGGTGGCCGACGGTCTTGCGATAGAATCTGGACCCAATGCAGCTGCGGGGTCTTGCCTTGAGAACCAATGCGCGGGAGGTGGGGGCCAGTGGCAACTTGGGCGCCGATTTCTGCCAGATTGGCCCACGACCTGCCCATGTAATTCACTTTCCTCTGGGTACTCTTGGCGCCCCTGGTCTGGGTGAACTCGCTCGCGCTGTTGCGCGTCCCCATGACTCCGTGCATGTCGGGGGGCCTCTGCGCAGGACCCAATGCGCGCTCGTGTCCCATGGGGGGGGGGGGGGTCGGCGGAATTTCAAACCGCGCGGGTGCGCTTGCCTGGTGTAGGAGGGCGACCTGGCAGGGGGGCGAGGGGCAGCGCTGGCATCATGGACATCACTCTTTTATGCCTTGAGCAAGACCTTGTGAAATACTGCAATAGTCGAGGGTCTTGATCCCTCCCGTAGTCCTGCATCCAAATTGTGAGCGATGGTGCCTCGGATGCATTCGGCAGCGGTGGTGTCAGCCAAGGGCTGCGACGTGAAATTGAAATCTCCGCCTCGGATGAACGGTCCAGCCCGCGCCTCCATGGCGGTCGCAGCGTGAGAGAGCAGCTCAAGGTTAGAATCGGCCAGGCCCTGCGATTTGTTCAAATAGACCGAGTACGGGGAGAGACTCTCACCTCCTGGGATGTTAACGATAGCGCCCGCGATGCGGAAGGGAACGAGAATGCGACCTCCTTGGGGCGCTCGCAAGCCGACGCCAGGATGCCGACGCCTCCAGAGGCCCCTCCGGAGGTGGCGGGGGTGGCGGGGGCGAGAAGGACAATCCGCCCGTGAGCCTGCGCCCGAGCAGAACCCTGATCACACTCCTCACCGCCTCGCAAATGGCGCTGCCTAGTTAGGATAATCCTAGCCTGAGTGTGGGAGAGCCCGCTTTTCAAGGACGGCAGCGTCGTGCTGTTGACTGTGTCCACGATGAGGCCCGCCGAGGCAGCTCCAGGGTCAGGGGGCCGGTCGAAAAACACTTAAGCAACGATTTGGCGCCGTTGCCATGCAAACGAATATTTGGTGGGGCGCCCGCCTTTTCTTCTCGGGGACCTGTCTGCGAACACCAGGGGCAAATCCAGGCTGCTGTTGGCCCCCTGGGGAACGGAATTTGCCGGGGCGCGAGAATGCAAATATGTGGCCCCTCCCCCCCCACGCCGCCGGCTTTTGAGTTCCTGCCTCGGGGCGGCAGCGTGGGGGTTGCTGGCGTGAGCCTTCACCTGGCGGCCCACCTTGCGCGCGTGCACTCGCCCGCTCGCGAGCGCCGCGCATGCCGGCGCCGCCCGATGCAGGGGCCGAAGACGCCCTGGTAGGTGTGGCCGACGTGGCGAACGAAACCTTGGGCGCATCACCGCCGTGCTTTGGCGCGGCCAGTGTCCGCTGAACTTGCTCCTCGAGCAGCGCTGCGCGAACGGGGAGGTCTCTGATGTGTGTCGATCTTCTTTTTCTTCTCCAATCGCTGTAGATGATTGAATTGGTCCTTCTTGAGTTCCTGGAACTTGTCGAAAACGCCACTGAAGAGGCCCTTGGCCAGCTCCTGCAGCTGGGGCACAACTCGTCTTTCCTGACCTGGATGGTATCCTTGTCTTCTGCCGACACTTCGTACACAAACCGGCATTGAACAACATGGCAACATCAATGGGAGACATGAGGTCGCCCTTGCATTCCACCACGTCTTTGATGCGCAGCCGTGGGGTGGTGGTGGGGGGGGGGCGCCGTCAGCAGCAGACTCTGGCCTGCCAGCCGACTGAGTGACCAATTCTTGATACTGCTTGTCGGCCGTGGCGAAGCGCTCATACGAGTTCCTGCGCGACCTTTGATTGCTGAGTGCACCGGTTGGAGTACGAGTCCAACTTGTCAAGCTCAACCTGCAGAGCTGCCTCCAGTTCCGTGACCTTCGCGCCCTGAGTGGTGACCTTGACTTGAGAACTGGGCTCACTGGTGTTGCGCACGGCGTCGAGCTTCTTATGGTATCGTGTGGCAACTGTCTAGTCTCCAGCCTTCGCAGCGAGCGTGACGAAGTTCTGCATCTCCATCTCACTGAGATCTCTGTCGTGTTCGGCACCTACTTCTGCGTGCAAGCCACTGCTGTTGTCTGAAGGCCCAGCAGCGCCACGGGGAGCAAGACACCGAGAGCGACGCCGAGTGCTGCCAGCAAGCACCGTGTCAGTATCTGATGAGGGAGCAACCGTCTTCCAGTCACCACAATGCTTGCAGGCATTCAATGCGTCCAAATTTTTCTTGCATCCGCACCATGCACAGCACCATCTCTTAGGCTGTGCCGTCCTCCGCAAGGGGGGGCGAGCTTTTCTCCAGGACGGAGGCGGTGCCAACATTTCGTGCCGCCCGCCCTTGCCCTTGGAACCTTAACCGCAGCACCGTTGCCCTTGCCGTTGGGCTGGCGCTCGGCTGGGCGCTCGCCCTTGCCGCTGCCGCGGCCCCAGCGCCCTCCTCCGCCCATGGCTTCAGAGTGCGGGGGAAAGGGAGCGTGACTGGGGAGTGCGGAGGAGCCATTTGGCCCGCGTCCCAAAATTCGAGACAGCAAGGCCCGCCTGGGCGACCAGGACGGCCAGGAGGAGGAGGAGGAGGAGGAGGAGGAGGAGGAGGAGGAGGAGGAGGAGGAGGAGGAGGAGGAGGAGGAGGAGGAGGAGGAGGAGAGGAGGAGGAGGAGGAGGGAGGGAGGAGGAGGAGGAGGAGGAAAAGGAGGGGGGAGGGATGGGGGATGGAGGGAGGGAGGGAGGAGGAGGGAGGAGGAGGAAGGAGGAGGGAGGAGGGAGGCGTAGGAGGAGGAGGGGGTGGAGGAGGAGGGGGAGGAGGAAGGGGAGGACCCCATTTGCTGTCTCAGACCCCCCAGCCGACTCCGAGCAAGAACCCGCGGTGGCCTGGGCACGCCGCTGGGTGGTCTGCGCTCCCAGACCTCTTGCGCCATGATTTTCTATGAACGTAACGTCGACCCCAGAGGCCTCGACCATTTCCCAGGGACCGGTCCTTCATCCCGAATCGTTCGGGGGGGCACAAAGGTAGGGTTGAGGCAAAGGTGGGGTTTGAAGGAAAATCGCTCCGAACGGCCCCTGGAGTAAGGAAGCGCGTCAAACGGGAACGCCCAGCTGGGCCCGTTCCCCAGCCCAACCTTGGGATAACCCTCCCTCTAGGACCCCCCCGACTCGTTTTTTGACGGCCCCGAGGCTCGGTGAGAGCCTCGAGGGAGGCCGACACACCTTCCTTCGGGAGTTCTGTCGCGGCTCGAGGGGGTCTGGGCGGCGCGCCCCGCTGGGGGCGGGGGCGGCAGCGGCCCGAACTCCCTCCTGCCAGGGGCCCCCTGGCGGCCCTGTCTGGTGCCCGCTGCGCTGCTGCACGACGAGCAACAGGTTGCATCAGCTTTCCCGTCGGCGGCGAGGCAGAGGCAGCCCGCTCCAGCGTGGGGCAAAGGCGCCGCCAGAGGCGCCGCGGGGGGGGTGGGGGGCCAGCGCGGAGCCAAGAAACCCGCGCGGAGCGCCAACCAACATCTGTTTATGGCGTGGCGTGTTTTTTTTCTTCTTCGACTGAAACCTCCGTCTCGACCTTTCCCGGGCGCTAGACATCTGGGCTCCCGCGTGTCCCGTGGGCGGCGCGCGGGGCGGCGGCGGCCCGCGCCGCCACTCACGCCAGGTGCCCCCGCACGGCCCGCAGCGTCCGGTGCTCGCTGCGCTGCTGCACCAGGGCGGCCTCGCCCTCGAGGATCTGCAGCGCCTGACGCAGGCCGGCGACCTCCGCGGAGCGGCGCCTCACAGGACGACGACGACGACGACGACGACGACGACGACGACGACGACGACGACGACGACGACGACGAATCGCGAAATCGGATCGAATCGAAATGTGCGTCTGCTCGGGCCGCACCGGCACGGCGTCGGAACCGGATCGAGTCGACCACGCCAGGATGCACAGCAGCGCCACACGAACCGTGGGTCGCACCGGATCGCCGCAGTACCAGAATCGGTGCGGATCGGGCTGGCCGACAGCAGTATCGAATCGGATCGATCGGATCGTACACGTTTTCTTATTCGGCGTCTCGACACTGGGCGGAAGGGAGGGGGAGGAGGGAGGGTCTGGCTCTGGACCTCTGCTTAGTACGATTGTGTGCAACAGTACGCCCCATGGGGGAGACTCCACTTGCTCGAAACAGGCGCCAACAACAGCCAAGATCTACTTCAGGGGCGGGGGCCCGTGCCGATCGGCAAAACAATGAATAAGAAAACGATCACGTCGGCATGGACCCTGCCTGACGAGCTCCTCGTACGTCGGCGCGGTCTCGTCGCACTGCTCGTGCAGACTGGCCAAGTACTTCTCGACGGCCTCGAGCTCCGTCTGCACCCCCGCGCGGTCCGACCCCGCCTCGGCGGTCGCCTTGTCCAGGTCCTTGGACTCCTTGGTCTTGTACTTCACGTCCTGGGTTTTCGTCGCGGTGGCGATCTCGTTGTCCTTGGTGAGCTGCTCGTACTCTGCCTGGGCGCTCTCCTCGGCCCCCGTCATATCGGAGAGGCCTTTCTGGAAGTCCGACTCTATTACCTCAAGCAAGCCGATGATACCCTGGCTGGCGCCCTCGGCAGCCGAGTGTTCCTTGTCCGACGCGTAGTACTCGGTCAGGACCTTGAGCGCCATCTGGATCCCCTTGATGCCTTGCTCCATGTCCGCCTTGTTCTTGACGTACGCCTCGTGCTCTGCGGCGCGGATCTTGTCCATGGTTGCTTGTTCGGTGGCAATGTTGGCCAGCTCCTTCTCCAGCGTCGCGATCTCCTCCTTCAGCTGCGCAGAACGTGCCGACATCTCGTCGATCGCGGTGGTGAGCTTCTCGATCTCCGTCACGCGGTCTGCCTTCTTCTGGTCTGCGTAGGCAAGCTCCTTATCGCAATAAGCCTTGTGCTTCGCGTCGGCGTCCGCTTCTTTCTCGAGCCGCTCTATCATGTCAGCAATCAAGCCTTTCACCTTGGCGAAAATATCCTGGGACGCCCCGCCGGAGCGCATCGCTGTCGCCATGCGGTTGGCCAGCTGGGTCAAGGCCGAAGCGCCCTCGCGCTTGCCGAGGTCCCGCACGAAGCGGACAGCCTCGAAGTGCGCAAGGCCCGTGCCAGAGGAGAGCTGCAGGAAGGCCTGCTGACTCAGGCCGTAGGACAGAGACTCGGCGCCGCCAGTGTTCTCAGAGATTGCCTTCTTAGCCTCCGCGAGCGCCTTCAGCTCCTCCGCCCGGCTCTTGACCTCCGCCTCGAAGGTCTGCGCGGTTGTCATGCAGTTCTCGTGCAGGTCGCCCAGCTCCTTGACGTCGGCTGCGAGGTCCTTTGAGGTCACCTCGAGATCGCCCGTGGCCGTCGCCTTTTTCTCGCTCGCGGCCGCGATGCCCGCCTTTGCCTCCGCGAGCTCTTTCTTTCCGTAGGCGATCTCGTCCTCGATGGACTGCTTGAGTTTCTCGAAGGCGAACAGGTTCGACGTCTCCTTGCCCTGCGCGCTCTTCAGGGAGACCTGGGCCTTGTCGAGCAGGTCCTGCAGCACCTCCACGATGCCGCCGCTGTGGCCCTCGTACACGGAGGCGCTGGGGGCGCCCTCGTTGTCACCCTCGGCGTCCTGCGACTGCTGCACGAGCGCCGTGAGGCGCTGGGCGTCCGAGGCGCTGAAGCCAGAGGCCTGCACCATGACGTGCAGGGCCTCCACGAGGCCGGCGGCGCCCTTGGCCTGCAGGAGCGCCGCGCTCGCGTGCTTCTCGAGGATGCCGATGGCGCGGCTGAGCGTGTCGATGATGTCCACGAGCTCCGCCTTCTCCGCCTCGAATGCCTTGGACTCGCTCGCACGGATGTAGGTCGCCGCCTTCAGGTCGGCCTCGTGCGCATGCTTGAATGATGTGCACAGCAACTTCATAACAGTGCACATATGGAAACTGTATCTCCTTTATTGTATCTTTCCTTCTCCCTTCTAATCTTCTATTTCCTGCCTCTACCTCTTCTTCCTCCTCTCCCTCAGCCCTTTCCTGCCCTACCTCTGGCTCCTCACCTCCTCTACCTCCTCTTCCTGCCCTCACCTCCTCACCTCCTCTACCTCCTCTTCTGCCCTCTTTCTGCCTCCTTCAACTCCTCTTCTTGCCCTCAGGTCGGCCTCGTTGGTGGAGATCTGCCCAGCCAGGTCCTCGGCCTTCGTCGTGAGGGAATCGACCCTGGCGGTCTCCTCGCTGATGACGGCCTTCAGGTCTTGGACTTCAGACTTCGATGTCTTAATCTCAAATGCGAGGTTCTTGTTGCTCTCCTCGCACCACTCGGAGAACGACTCGTACACCTTCTGCGACGTCTCGCCCTCGCCGATCACCTTCGCCTGCAGGCCGGAGATCAGCTCCAGCACCTTGCCGATGGGGTTGGCCTGCTCCGCGGCCGCCCTGGCGGAGGTCAACGAGGCGGCGAGGACGAGGGCTGCCACCGTCTTCATTGCGCAGGGGCCCGGGAAGGATCTGGTAGGTCGGGGAGCGCTGGTGCTCTCGCTGCCGATGCGCCTCGGGCCAAACTGCCTTGATCCAAAGTGGCCATGGGGAGCAAAAGAAAGAAGGGGGAACAGTGGAGGAGGGGGAAAGAAGACGAAGCCCTCCACAAACACCCGTCCGCCGGTTGATGGACAAACTCCAGCACCTTTGCTGCTGTTTATGTGAACACCCCAGTTACCCCAATTCAATATTGAACACTCCAATGCCCCAATTCAGTATTGGCGGGCTGCTCCTCGATGTGTCGATCTGTCCACTGGCCAAGCTCCTGCGCTCCGCTGGCGATGCCAACCAAGTTTTTTCGGGGGCAGCGCGCCGCGTTGAAGTTTGCGTCGGCACCCCAGCCGCGCGGGTGGTGCAAGACTTTGCCCAACCGCCATGCGCTACCCTTGGTGCAGCACGGTTGGAGAGAGAGAGAGAGAGAGAGGGAGTGCCCAAACCTGAACAGACCGCAACAGAAGGTCAGGGGGGCAGGCCCAGGGAGGTAAACATTGACCTGAAATCGGTGATGCATCGCCGATCGATTTGCGATGGGCACCCTGGGCGGGGTAGGACTATCAGTTCTCTATCGGCAATGGATGGGCGATTTGGAATCGATTCGTCCCCTCCTGAGCCTATCCCCCCCCCGACGTTGTCCCTCGAGGGAGTGCCCAAACCTGAGCAGACCGCAGCACAATTCTTCCTCCTCCTCCTCCTGATCCTCCTCCTCCTCCTCCTCCTGCGCCTCCTCCTCTGCTGCCTCTGCTGCCTCGGCCGAAGGGGGCCCCCACGCAGGCCGAGCGAGCGGCAGGTTCGCGCTTCGAGCATATAGCATGCAGGGCCTCCGGGGGCCTAGAGCGAACGAGGTGCCAGTGAGAAGGAGGAAAGGGCAAGGAGGCAGGGGGGAGGACGAGCGGGACGGAGGGGAGGCGAAAGATGAGGAAGATGAGGAGGAGGGCCTGGCTCGGGGCGGCCGCGGCTGAAGGGGGAGGAAGCCATCCACTTCCCAGACGAAACCAACACGAAGACACATTCGGGTGAAGACCAATCGAGAATCTCTGAGATCCGGGTGCTCTGGAGGATGCCTCGGGTCCTGCGGCCTTCTCAGAGCGTTCTGGAACGCTCTGGATAGAAGAGGAAAAACGTAAACATTAACTTTTGGCGCCTCGCGCGGGTTTCTTAGATCTGTGCTGGACCCCCCTCCCCGGCGCCAGGGGCGGCGCCGGAGGCGCCGCCAGGGGGCCCCACCGCCGATCCATGAAATCCGATCGGAACGCCAAAAGTTCATGTCCATGGCGTTTCAGTTCTTCGAATTTCTGCTCGTCCTGGCTCTGCCGGAGGGAACCCTCCGCCCACCCCGCTCACTGGAATCCCTGTTTGGCGGCGCGCAAAGGGGGGTCGGGGGAGGGGGGAAGGCTTCGTAGAAGGGGGCTGCTTCTTAGAAGGCGCCGGCCTTACATGTATAGAGAAAGCCCGCGCCTTCCAAGAAGCAGGGGCCCTAAGCAGGGGTGCTTCTAAGAAGCCTTCCCCTCTTAGCGTCCGCCCCCAACGCCCCCGCGTGCGCTCCGCCTCGCGCCGCAGACCGCGGCCCCGCGCCGACTCTCTCCAACGTCACGCCGCCGACGCATCCGACGTGCGTGCCGGATTCCAGACTGCACTGGGCACGTGCGATGATAAATACATACGCGCACACACATACATACACATGTATGGATACATGTATGCATGCACGCGTGCATGTTGGTAATGTCGGCTTGTGACTCCCCAGTCAGTGCTTGTACTGGAAAAAAGGTTCCAGCGGCAATTCAAATATTTGGCGAACGAATCCTGCCGATTTTGGTGGCCGGCTGGGTTCCTGGGTACCGGGATCCCGGGTTCCTGGTCATTGGTTTAATTTCGGTGGGTTCCGGGTTCCTGGGTTCCCGGCCGGTCTCCTTATCGATCAAACCATCCACTGATTTGGGTTTTTCTCGGGTGTGATTAACAAATCCGTGGGGGGCGCGCGTTCAAAATAAATTCCCCTGCTCGGGCGAATTGCGGGATGGCGCCCGCCAGATTGAAAATCAGAGGGGCGGCGCCGGTGATTAGCGCCGACGCCCGGCCGCCAACGAGAAGGCGACAGACAACACAAACTGGGGGAGGGGAGGTGGGCGGGAGGCAAAGGCGGCAGAAGCAGGGACCGTGAGCCAGGACGACACCTGTTTGAAGTGAGGAGGAACTGATGTCGGCGCTCGCCCCCGCACTTTCCGTGCTCTTCTGTCGAACCGATGCGCTTCCTTTGCTCTGGCCGCAGCCAGGGGGGCGCCAGGCAAGGCGGGCTGGACGAAAGGGGGACGTGGTCAACTCACACAGTTGTTTTCCGAGCGCCCCCTGGCGCCGAAACCAGCAACGCGCAGCAGGTTTCGCAACCGCCCCTTTCGTCCGACTCGAGCAAAGCGGGCAGTCCTCCTCCCCCCCGTTGTCGTGGACTCTGTAGTCGTCGACGACGACGACGACGACGGCGACGAGGACGACGGACGGCGAACGGCAGCCGGCGACGGCGGCGACGACGACGCACTGCGGCTGTTTGCCGTGGGGGGGGGGGCTGCGCAGGCCCGCTGTAATCGACGACGACGACGACAAGGACGACGACGACGACGACGACGACGACCGACGACCGACGACAAGGACGACGAAGAAGACGACGACGACGGCGACGACGACGACGACAGCGGCGGTGGCGACGACGACGACGACGCCTGAGAGGGGGGAACAACTTCGCCTCGGATGTGTACGACCCCTATCACAACTTCTGTACGAGAAGGCAATCGTTTTGAGGATGTCATGCAGGGGGGTACACGATCCCCTCGGCGGCGCCAGCGGCGACCCCCTGGCGCGCGTGATTATAAAAGAAGGTTTCGCGCCCCGCGGGGTCTACTCATCGGCCCCTGGGGGGAGGGTCCGGCTATATGTTAATCACAAGCTGACATTGCGTTTGTTTGTTTATTCGTTCGTTTGTTCGTATGTATGTACGTATGTATACATGCATGCATGTATGCATGTATGTATGAATTGATGAATGTATGTATATACATTTGCATGTGCACATATACACATATACACATATATTCATATACATATATATACACGTGTATCTGGCCGCGTTGAGGACCGCTTCATGACCCGTTCACTCCGCATCGCACGGGCGCCTCGCTGTCACGCCATAGCGTGATCCCACAACTGGGCAACATGCAACCCCCCCGATGGGAGCTGAGCACGGGGCTCCGACACCCGAAAGCAAGAGTCCCCCCCTTGTTCTCGCGACTCTGGTCAGGCATAGGCCACATATAACTTCTGTCATCAGGCATCTGATAGCACATGGGCCGTCGAGCTCCGAGGTCCCCGAGGTGCCCCAAGAGGCCTCCCTGGGCCACCCCCCCTGGGGCCAAATCGGGGGGATGAGGGACCTCCGCGGGGCACCTGCTCGCAGGCCGACTTCTTCTCTGACGGGCCTACGGTGCAGTCCGAGGACGGGGATTGGCGGCGGGCGAGGGGAAGAGCGAGAAGGCGAAGGCCTTCTCAGAAGGCTCGAAAGTCCCTGGCCTTCTAAGAAGTTTTCTTGAGCCTTCCCGGAAGACACCACAAACAAATTCTCAGAAGGCGCGAGGACTTCTGAGAGGTCCCGCCGCCTTCTGAGAAGGCCTTCTCCTTCTCACTTCCACCCCTCGCTCGTAGCCGAGAGGAAGACGAGGGAGTTCTGGACTCCTTCCCCAGGGCCGGCTTCTCGTCCCGAGTCGCTGTTTCACGGTCCTGACGCCCGGCGAGGGCCCCCCGAGGCCGAAAATAGGAACAAAAACCCGAAGGCACTTTCAGAGTCCCTGCGGCGCGCGCGACCGTGCGCGGCGCCTTTCGGTGCGTACTTTGCGCGGTGGAACGCGCAGTTTTGGCGGCGCCGACCGTGTGGGCAGGGCGTCCCACTGCAGGGGTCGTTCGGCCGTCCGCGCCAGGGCGCCCAACGCCGCAAAAGAACATGCCCTGGAACGCAAACTCTGCAATTTTTTGGTCACCCTGCGTCGCGATGTCTTCACAGCGCGAAGGGGTCTGGGCACGAGGGGGCGCATCGCCTAGGACGAGGTCCGGAGCAAGATCGCTGTGCAGCCTGCGCTTGCGCGCGCGCCCCGCGCAGGCTGCTCTGCGCGGCAGCCCGCGGCTGCCCAGACCACCCGCGTGGCCGCCCTCCCCGCTCGTCTCGGGCAGCGCTTTCGGGCGCCACGCTTCTGGAGAGTCGTCTTCGGTCGGCGTGTCCTCCTACGGGCGGATTCCGGAAGACAACTAACAAGTAATCGACAACTATCCAAACATAGTCGAAGGAGCACGACAAATCGTCCCCAGACTATTTCAAAAGTAGTCTTGAACAGTTCTCCCGTAGAGGGACATGCCCGACTTACGAGTCGTCGCGCGATCCCGCTCTCCTTGTCGGCGGTTCAAGAGTGGGCTCCCGAGGGATGGGGCTCCAGTGATGGGAAATGGATCGCCAGGGTTCTCGCCCTCGGGGGCCCAACTTCGAACTGCCGATTTTGACGATCCCCCTCGCGCCAACAGAGATACTGAAAGCAAACCAATCGCACATACCATCAACACCAGGACGAAGCCAAATCACGAACAACTCGGGCACGAATGACTCCACGATCTCGGATACCTGGCGGATCTAGAAGAGATTTCGCATGCTACGGCCGTTCGAAAACGCGCCGGGAGACTCCGAAACCAGTGGAAGTAGTCCTGTGCATCCTGAGGTAGGAGTCTTTTTAGTTTGGGTTTCGACATTTGGCCGAAGGGTGGGTGAGGGGTGGGTGGGTCTTGGTCTGGGCCAGTGATTCGTCAATCTATCCGACACATCGCGCAAACAGAAGGAGGGGGGGTCCTGCCAGTGCGTAGCGAAACGCAGCTGCAAGACTCAGCCAAGATCTGCTCCAGGGAGAGGGGGGAGGGAAGCGGGGGCCCACACCGATCCGCGAGACAACGATCCTTATCTGCCCCACGGAGACTGTGACAGCAGTATTTCTTAGCAGAGAGAATGATTGAATGGAGCATGCATTTTTCCTCGCTCGCGATTTTAACAGATACTGCTTCGAGACCGCTGTACAGCGTACATTGGTCTGATGGAGGCTCCCGGGGTTATGGGCCCAACACTCTCGGTTGCCACATTGAATTAACAAAAAACGGCTCCGAGGCTGCCTGAACGCTTGCCGGCGATCTGCCAGATGTATCTTCCTCCCTCGCTTCCCCTCTTTTTTTCTCCTCCTATCCCCCCATCGATATGCTTCCCTGACCTACTCCAGGACGCGGTCCGACCAGAACTCCGAGGCGGACCCAGCTGTGGCGACGAATGTGGAGGCCCAACAAGGACGGAACTCGCCAACGTCCTCCCCGATTCCTCCCTTCCCCTCCCTCCCTCTCCTCTCCCCAAGGCCATGTCGCGACGAGGTGGTGGAACGTCAGTTCAGGAGAGAGCCCAGGCAAACCGAGCCCCAGGCATGGCGAACATGACCGTGTAGTAGTCGCCTGTCATGGAGTCCTGGTTGCCTCAAGGAGGAGAGCGCCTCGTGATCTCGCTTTCCCCTGCTGTTCCGTGGGCCTCCCGGGAGGGCCCCGCCGCCACGGCTGGATCCGCCACGAGCTTCTGGTCAGAGCGTGCTCCGTGGGCAGGTTCAGGGAACGTCTCTTCTAGAGAGCGGCGACGACGAGAAGGGGGAGGAAGGGCCCCCCCTCCTGCCCCCCCTTCTCCGTTTCTGGGACTTCGGGGGGCCGCTCGTCGCCGTGACTGGAGCTGGCTCGAAACATGGGCCAGGCTTTGTAGTAGGTGCACAGGCTGGATCGGGGGACGCGGACCGAGGTCGACAAGAGGGGGTGTGCGCGGTCGAGGTGGCGTGGGCGCCTCCATTGACAAGGCGGCGGGGCGGGCAGGAAGAGGAGGACGACGACGAGGGGGGCGACTCGGCGACGGGGGAGGGGGGAGAAGAGGACCACGCGGAATCGGCCGCTCGCTCGTTACCGCGGGTGTAGGGAGATCCTGCTCCTGCTCCTTTCCTCCTCCTCATCCTCCTCCACCACCTCCTCCTCCTCGTCCTCCGCCTCCTCCGCCTCCTCCCCCTCCCACCCACGCTGACGGGGGAGCGCGAGCGGTTGGAGGGGTTAATCAACTCCCACGGTCCTGTAAATACCGATGTAAATTCTTGCTGGGAGACTCTACCTCCTGGTGAAGCATGCCTACGGGGCGACACATGTGTCAAATCAAATACAAGTAGTTGACATAAGCTCGCCTGTGCCATCAACACTTTCAGCGACGTTCGCGCAGTCACGCGCTGCACTTCCACCAATGCATCTTGAGATCCATCACTTTCCAATGAGGTGTAATTTGGATGTGTGTCGGCATCTTGCGCAATTGACGGCGTCACACATTACGCTGCTGTATGCTCGCCCACCATAGTAAGTCTGGAAATCATCAATTACGAGTCCGCGGATGTTAATTACCAGAGCGGCCAATCAAATGGTGCTGCTCATTGCACCTGCTCTTTAACTCCCAACTGCATGTTCAACGGAACGCGCTGTACGGGAGATAGCCGCTGACCGAAAGCCTGCAAGCTCAACACTGGCGTCGGTCTGCTTGCCTTTACGATCTATCTTGCGGCTGGAGCGCTTGTCAACAAGTGCTACGCACAAGCCTGCACCATACATCCGTGATTACATCTACCGTTCTCAAATCGGTTGCCCGGAGCCCCTTGCCTGCACGGGGCCAGCCCTTACGGCACGTCTTGTGCATGGTATCCGCTGCGTCCCGCAGAGCGTAAGCAACGTTTTCAATTGCTCCGATGCAGACACGTGGAATAATAGAGCTGCGTGGATACGTAACGTCTGTGTTTCCTGTAATGCCCGACTGGCCATGCAGTGGGCTCGGTCGACGTCTGCAGGGTCAAGCCTTCACTGATATATCGTGTGTTGCATTCATGAACCAAGATACGGCGTTGCACCATATCACCTTGTGGTCAAATAGTTTGTGCCGTCGACGGATCCTGCATGCCTGCGCGTTGGCCTGGCACGTTAGCGTTTTGCGGAATCGTGCGTTGACTCGCTGACGTTGCTGCTTGACTGTGTTTACACACCGCTGCTACCCTTTAGCCCTCATTGTAAATGGTGATCCCGATCACTGAGGCATGTGCTGACATCAAAATGTTCCATTGAACAAGTCTACGCCGCTGGCATCTGCGCGGTATCCACCCACGGTATCCGCTCTGCAACGCTCATACTTTTCCTGACGCTTAAGACAATGAGGCCAAGGAGCGAAGGCGACACAAATTTCGATTCATTTTGTGAATTTTCTGGTTGGCGGGTGATCTGAGTAACCCCTCTACATCAAATGCGCTGCTTATGCTTGCGTGGCGCAGCGCGGGTTCCCCTCAACCACCAACGTGAAATATCTTTCGAATCGAATTGGCCGCGGCTAATTTGCAACAGTAGCGTATCAACCAACCACGATTCCGCTTATGCACTTCTGTGTGATTGTGAAGTATCTGGACCAATATGAAAAAAACAACGATTGTACACACGCGTTCCAAGCCGTGTCGTTCAATGCACCTGGCACTCTCTTATTCAATTAACGTCGGGCTTGTGTGGTGATCGACCGACCCTGTGAACCTGCCAACTCGACGCACATGCCATTCCATTACGTCACGGGCGGCGCCGCTTACCGCACACCGAACGGCTTTCAACATGTCTGCCTTTTCTGCAGGCAAATGTCAAAACATTGTCTTGAAACCATGGCTCCCGCGCCAACAGTTGCTTGATCTTTATAGTCTGTGTCAAGGTCTGGCCACACATTAGATGCACACGCGTTGCATACCACACGACTGATGCAAAGGGTACTCTCTCCCGTTCTCTCGTTCTCTCTCTCTCTCTCTCCTTTCCTCATCTTTCTCTAGACATGTATGTGTGTATATCTAGCCCGGGCGCTCTCTACACTGACCAGACGATGCTTTTTTTCTCGTGAAGCGAGCACGAAGACACCACGTCGGGGCCGACGCTGTCGAGACTCAGACTGCAGTTGAAAGAAGGGACAGAGAGCAACGGCACTGAGCATCTGGACGCCAAGCACCCGAAAACGGGCAGTAAAAAGGGGTGGGGGGGAGCCTTGCGGATTACGGAACAGTGTTCCTGCGGCCAGATGCGACACCACTCGGCTTCAAGTGGTGATCGCATCCAGCCCGGGCGCTGTCTACACTGACCAGACGATGTTTCTTTCCCTACCTAGGCTCTGCCTAGAAGGGTTCTTACTCGGAAGCTTAAAAGGCCGGGCAGTGGGGCCCGCCCCGGACGGTTCCCCCAGTATCCGCCACGCGGTTCCCCCAGTCCTGGGAGCTTTAGCTTTAGCTGTAGCTTAGCTGTAGCTTAGCTTGAACTTAGCATGAGCTTAGGTGTAGCTTAGCTTTAGCTTAGCTTTACCTTAGCTTCAGCTTGGCTTTAGCTTTGCTTCGCCTCAGCTTTAGCTTCGTTTTCGCTTAACTTCAGCTTAACTTTAGCTTCTTCAGCTTAACTTTCGCTTAGCTTTAGCTTAGCTTTAGCTGAGCTTCAGCTTTGCTGCTTAACTTTAGCTAAACTTCAGCTTAACATTAGCTTAGCTTTAGCTTAGCTTTAGTTAGCTTTATCTTAGCTTTCGCTTAGCTTTCGCTTAGCTTTAGCTTTAGCTGCAGCTTAGCTTTAGCTTTAACTTAGCTTTAGCTTAGCTTCAGCTCAGCTTCAGCTTAGCTTTACTGTTACTACTGATGCTGCTTTCCTTAGGGCTCCAACTCCTAGGTCGGGTCGCACTGGGATAATTTTATCGTGAGGCGAGCGCGATGGCATCACGTCGGGGCCGCCGCTGTCGAGACTCAGACTGCAGTTGAAAGAGGGGGCATAGAGCAACGGCGCGCCAAGCACCCGATCCCGCGCAGGAGGACTGGCCAAACGCGGCCGCATTACAAGCCCAGTGAGACACTCTTCAGCCCGTGAGTTTGTAAAATCCCAGCAGCCAGGGCCATGTCCTTAGCGGCAGCATTGGCAAACTGAACAGGATGAGGAATGGCATTGCTGGTCCAATTGTGCCCTCCAGGAGCATTGCCGGTTCGTCAGACTACAAAAGCCATGCTTGCCAGGACAGCGCTTGCACAGGGATGACGGGCTGCCGCCATGCCGCGCAGCTATTCTACTTGTTTTTGTGCGTTCCAAGGGGCATTAAATTGTCAGAAGCCGCAGCAGACAGCGAACAAAAAACTGGGCAACTCAAGAGATCGTTCATCTGCCCTGTCCACCGCGTGACCGACGGCCGAGGGTTCTCGAGGATGATAAGAATCGTGGCGGCAATGCGTATTTTGATGAGCGCGATACTGCACAGAAGCGTAGCGTTGCCAATCCTCGAGTGTTCGAGCTCAGCGTCAGTGAGCAGATCGATGGATCGTGCACGATAACCGAGCTTTTGAAGGGCGCTAGCGATGCACCCGCTGCCGGCGAAGAGTTCAAGAAATACCGAGTGCCTCATGACACTTGGGCGCGGCGCAGCACTTGCACGAGAGGCGCGCTGCAAGTGGCGCCGCGCCTTCTGCTCTGAGAAGTCCCCGGCAACGCGCGCGGCGCACTATGCCGCGGGCCCAGCGGTGCCGCGGCGCGAGGCGGTAGCCGCGCCGGCTACAGCGGACTTCCGAAGCGCTCGGCCATCTCGCTCCTGAGGTTCGCCTCCGCCGCGCGGCCGAGCGCGGAGATGCCCTCGGACGCCTTCGCCGCCTCGAGCAGCAGGAGAGTCGTCTTGCCGCGCTGTCTCTGCGCCTTCAGCGCCTCGAAGCATGGCGGCAGCAACTCGCGCCTGTCCATCAGCGCCGCGGCGTCGAACATCCCCAGCTTGCCGGGGCCGCCCAGCGTCGCGTCGGGGAGCGGCAGACCCCGCGAGCTGTGCTGCTGGCCCGCCGCGACCTCCGGGGCGACCAGGTGCCTCTTGCGCAGCAGGAGCGCCTCGTGGGGCCTGAGGCGCGCTACAAACGTGATCCTCCCCCAGAGGAGCATGCGAAGGAAGCCCAGGTGGCGGGAGCGCCCGGCCAGCGCGAAACCCGCCGCGCGGGGCAGGGACAGCCGCGTGTGCGGAGGGATCCTCCAGCGCCAGGCGACCGGGCAACGGCTGGCCCACGGGGGCATCACGGTCGTCATCGTGTGCAGCTCCAGGATGAGGTGCGACAGACCTGCCGTGAGCTTCGAGCACTCCTCAACGCTCGCCCCCTCCAGAAACAGCGCGTTGAAGAACGGGGCAAGCAGGGGGCCCAGCTCGCAGTAGCTCTGCCGATCCGCGCCCCCGCCCTGGCGGCGCTGGAGGAAGGGCGTCGCCGCGCTCGCGCACAGCAGCTCCGCGCCCGGCGTCGCAGCCAGGCTCTCCAGCAGGCTGAGGCAGCCCCCTGCAGAGCGCGAGCCGCGAAGAGGCGAGGCGCGGGGGCTGCCCGCCGCGCCTTCATCGCGCCTGCCAGCGGGTCCGGCTTCGCCCGCTGGCGAGTCCACCTGCCCGGCAGGGG